CTGCACCTAGTAACATGCATTCACATAAACCAGTAAATTAATTTTGTTCAGCAGAGAAAGTGGTATGTTTTGGTTCATCCTAGTAGAGCTGTTTCTTAAACTCAGTAATTGTTATGAATTCTCATTAGACTTTGTTGTATAGCTTAAATCCTATGCAACACTCAGGACATTTGAGTATAAATATTATTCTTAGCCATAGGGGGCAGCAAACTGTTACATTTCTTCTAAACCTGCCTTCGATGTACCAAGCAAAGACTTCATCAGAAAACACAGCACGGGATTTCCTTCAAGATCCCTGACTTCTAAAGATTTTTGAACAGTTTTAAATGTTTTACGTATTGCCACAGAGATTAATGAAAGCTTCAAAATCTACATAGTAGGAAAGAAAAATCAAACTGCCAATCAAAATCATTACAGTCAAAATTGCTACCAAATGCTCTATTCTTACAATAAACATTTCCAAACAAATGATAAAAGAGAAGGCAGCATAACTTGCCACACAGTTCTTGGGGCACTGCAAGCGTTGGGACGCAGAGCCTGTGAAGCGTTAAGCAGCCTGGTGTTCTGCACGTAACCTTCTTGATTCCATTACAAAAATAAATCCCAAGTGCCCAATTTATATCGCACAAGTTTGCCAAAATGTGTGAACTTTCTTCAAGTTCTTGCAAATCAGTGGGGTTAGCCAGGAAGTACAATACGCCGGTAACCTGAGCACAACAGTTAGAGCCTAATACTAAAAAGCAAGCATTAAGAAAGGTACCCATGGCAAACAATTCATCCAAAAGTTACTCGCTGCCATTGGTCAGGGCCTTAGGGCATTGTTTCTCTCAATAAACAGAAAAAAACCCTGTATCTTTGGCAACACAACTAATATGTAATACATGTTCTTATGCTATGCTATTTACTGATTTCTGTAAAGCTTTGCTGATTCCTTTCTGAAAGGCAGATTCTCAAAACCACTTAAACCAGACTATTAAATGTTCTCTGCATTTCTGTTCTTCTCTGATTTGAAATTTTCAGTCCAAGGAGACTTTGGCAATTCAGTTCCTTTGATTTTCAAAGAAGTCGATGCCTTTAAGGAATCATGACTGACCATGCTGCTGAGGAGACAAATCCTGTTCTGTGGACAGAACTTGCTGGTTCACTGAGCTTACTGGATTGTCTGATTCACTTGAAAACAGAAGTTTCAATATTTAGTCTTTAGTTTCAATATTCGTCTTTGTCTCAAGCACAACTTAATCTCATTCAGCAGCAAAGCAGGTAGGAGAGAAGGGAACCATAAAAATAGTGAGGAAACTTTCATAAAGTCAATGTTCATTACTACCTGCTCTTGTCTGACGACGAACGTGATGTCTTCTCCAGGCTTAACAGCCAGGCTTTCTTCTCTGATGCTGATCTGAAGTCCCTTGGGAGCAATCAATGGACACATATGCTGTGCTAAGTTCTGCTGCAGGTCTACACCACCTTCACACACATTAGAAACAACTTTCCTATACCTGCAAAAAGAGTAAGCAGCGAGCACAATGAATCAGAGGTGAGCAGGAGAATGCCATCAGAGGCACCGAACGCGAGTGTGATTGTAGCTAATGAATATTCTTCGGATCACGAACAGACAAGATTGCAGATGATCAAAACCAACTCATGATGCAAATACTTTGATGTGGACATTGCCTTTACTGAGTAAAACCTGTTGAAGAAAGAGGGTGTGGAGCACAATGAGGATTTCACTTGTATGCATTGGAAGAGTCTGCCTTTTCAAATTTAGAAACACACCTGACCAGCCCTCCAGGAGGCTAGATAGTCTGCTGTCCTCTCTGCCATACCCTTTCCTAGCGTTCAACAGTCTTCGATGCTCTAGAGGTCTTGGTTCAAACCCCAAAGATCAGGAAGAAATTAAATCAAGCAGCTTTTGCATTAAGCCAGAATCAATTGCTTATCTGCTGCTCTCAAATCTATGCATTTCTTAAAACACTTAAAGCATTTCTTTAACATAACAGTATAAAAGGGTGAAAAGCCTAACGCTTTTGAAGAACTAATAATGAAATACTTGGATGTCTACAGTAATTATTTACAGATCAGTTTCACTCAGGTATGTTATTTTTAAACATCCTTTAAAATTGGAGTCAGATTTCACTCTTTTGAATTCCTATTCTGTATATCACAGCTGTCAGCCACAACCCAAAAGGCATCATTTTCCTTGGTAAGGCAAATATACACAGAGACCGTGATTCTACTGCCAGATTTGACATTTCATCATTTGGTTCTCATCTCCACAACCGACAGAGATGATGTTATGATAAGCCAGAATAGATGCCAGCTGCAAGTTATTCTCAGCACAGACGTCAGACTACATTGTAGTGTATATTCTATGTGGTATTGTTTACAGTTACTAAAGCTTTCCTTTGATTCTGAGTGTCCCATATGGTCAGGAAAAGAATCTGTTCTGCACAGAACTCCTTACCCCTGTGGAAGTGAAAGACTGGGAAGTTCAGTGAGATGTTACTGGCTCCTGAGAGTAAGTAATTCATTGGATTCAAACTGAAAATTGGTCTGAACTCAAGCAAAGGGCTAAAAAAAAAAAAAAAAAAAAGCCTTTGAATGGACATTCCTATCAGAAGTGTAGCAATGGTTACAAAATGCAGTTACAAAACAGAAAATAAAAATACTGGGAACAAGACAGCTCCCCCTCTTCTCAAATGGGTGGGTTTTTGAACTGCCGTAAACATGTAAAGTAACATTTCTCTTTCATTCTTCTGTAGGAAGCTTTTGCACATGCTCTAAGCCAGAGTCAGAACTTTTGCATTTCCCATTTTTTTACAGTTTGCCTTATTTACATTTCCTTAAAACCACTTTTGTGGCTCTTGGTTGGAATGTTCTCCCCCACTGTGGAAGCCTCTGCGAGCCAGTTGAACGCAAAATCAGCTTACCCAGTGCTGCTGGTGTACGCCTGCCCCAGCACGCAGTCTTCAGGAGGTGCTTCTGGGTTAAACCAAAAGTCAGCAAAGCACTTGCTAGACTCCGACTTCAGAAGTGCAGAGCGCTCAAACCCATAATCACTGAAAAACATCAATACCAAGTGTGTTACTATCCCCACTTCCTTCAGCAGTCTAATTTGGGGTGAATGAAATTACTTTTTTAAGAGTACAAAGATTTTTTTAGTATTATTCTACCAGCTGAACATACAAGTTGATGAAGCCAGTTCTGTTCTAAGTCTAATTTCAACGGGAGTTGTGTACACCTGGGGGAAAAAACTGGTTGTAATCACTGTGTCAGTTCTGCAAAATTAACTCTCTTGGTAGCTTAGATTTTTAAAAGCTTTCCTTTGCCACTCAGACCAACACATTTCTTCTGCTTTTTGCTTCATTTGCAAATAGAAAGGGCTTGCCTGCCTTATAAATCAATCCAATGGTCATTTTTCAAGTCTTGATCAATAGAGAAAAACATCAGGATTTGTTCAGTCAGGTGAAACAATTACTTAAAACATGGCAAATCCAAAAGCAACCTGTTATTCAAGTAACAGGTTGCCTATTTGTTTATACACAGGGAGAGGGGCAAAAGGAGGAAAATAAACCCATCTCAAACTCTAACTATTTATCAGCAATAAATCAAAAGGTCCACAGACAGACTCACCATAAGAAATCAGAGTTCACGCATTCACAAACTTTGGATGTGAGAGCTGATGTGAAACTTCTCCCTTTAATGCACCATGATGAAATCTTCCTCTTCCGAAAGCTCCTCTGCTGGCCCATGATGCAACGATCACCCTGAACATCAAAGCACCACACTTATTGCACACCACAACCTACACCACACAGACGTGACCTGACATTGTCATGAGAAAGGTTGCACTTGCTGCCAAGACTGTAAACTTGTATCAAGTCTCAACTCTCTTATATTCAAATGTATAGATATACAAAGCTCTCATATCCACTGCTGTCCACTAACAGGCCATTGCAGAATTATAACATACGCTATATTTCAGGGCACAAATCCAAAGATGTACATGGAAATTCAAGTGCAATTTAACCCATGTTTCATGTGTGCGCAATCTAGGCACAACCCTACAACTGTCCATTTAAAAATTCAGTGTGGAGGCAGATGGCTGATGCTCTATCTAAATCACCATGTCTCGTGTCAGCAGTCAACAGGAAGCACCAGGCATGTGGACACATGTAGAATGAAGACTATCTGAACACACTCCATTGGTAATTGGGCAGCTGCAAGTACTCTGTCAAAGTCATCTTAGTAGCTTCTAATTTCTGAAAGACATTTCAATGCCAATATCCCAAGATACTGTTACTCTTTAGGCTCAGATCTGCATAACATTTTTAGTAAATACACAGCATTCCCAAACAAGAAGTGTAAAATTAGGCATGAGAACTAGAAAATGAGAGCCGGAGAGCTGGAATAGTATGCAAAAAAACCCCAACCCTGCAGAGAGCGAGAGAACAAATGTACTGGAAGAAGCACAAACATAATAATCAGAATAATGATGAATAAATATGACATATTCCATTTAATGTAAAAAACCTTCACATTGGTCTCTTTAATCAATACATTGTATAGAGAATGTAGCTTCCCAAAATTGGATTTGGCCAGAGCACCAGGATTAGCACAGCCTTAATGCATTACTGCAGAAATGGTATTGCCCAAAACAACTGGACTCCATTACATGATCGGTCCACTGAGATCCTAAATTACTTCTGGAATGGGCTTTGCTTATGGCAATTTATATATGAGTACAGTATGTGGTCAGGAAGTTGGCAGAACATATGACTGCATGTTGAAATTGCTTCAATCAATATTACACACTTCAGTTTATGGTATATGCTTCATAATCCAGCAGGACCACCTATTATTATAGCAGACCACGAGATATACTTCCACCTTTTCCAGGACACAGATCACACACAACCAAAGGGAACGCAAAACCCTCCCCCATTTTGAACTATTGTAAAATCAGCAAATACCAACATAAGGAGATCAAAGCTGGGGATGTAGCGTCCAAATTCTATTTGAAAACATGTTCCTAGCACACAGTTCTACATGGAACTCTAGGGAAAAGTCATGGCAGTTAACATAAGACCATGAATACCTGTAGATTTGTGAGCTCCCAGGACTCATAGTCATCATCAGTGCACTCCCTGGGAAAGGATGGTCTGAAGTCCACCTTCACCAGTTCCCAGTCTGAACGGTAGCTAATATGTCCAAAGACTCTGAACAAAAAGATCGAAAGTAAAATCTTACTGGAAAGAAATAACATACATCTGAGATACCAATTTTCAGTTCTATCTTTTCCTTCGGTCATGGTTCCCTACTAAAGGTCCCTGGTTAATTTTTTTTCCACTTTCATTCCTCTTCATATACAATGTGTCTAGTTAGAAAACATTTGCCAATTGTCCGTGAAACTTTACAATGAAAAAATATAGCTCATAGATCAGAGATTTTTTTTTTTCCCCAGCAAACTATCCAGAAATTTAATTGGAAATATACTACCTTTTCTAATTTGGAACCCAACATTTTTTATACTATCTTGTTATATGAAACACACAGAGCTCTCAGATTTTGAGAGGGAGCTCAGATCAGGGAGCAGAACCCAGGATCACCAGGTTCAATTTCCAGCTCTGTCACTCAATGCTTATGATTATAGTGCAACTTCTTGTTTTTGTTGGTTTTTTTTTTTTAACTTCTACAGATTTCAGATGGCAATTTGCTATTGTTTGAACTCACAACAGTATCATGAAATTGTATTCATTTCCAACGAATGCACTGAATCTACACATTGTGCTGAGGAACTCTTGGACTCCTCTTCATTTCAGATAGTCCAATGTATAACAAAAACCAGCCACAAACTGTAGATTTCTTTTTGAAAAAAAAAATTGAAATCTCATTGCTTTAAAAACCAAGCTGCACTTTCAAAGCAGCCAACATTTTCAAAGTCAGAATATTTATTTCCAAAACAAAACGGGTAGGTATGACATCCAGCAACAAATTAGACGGGATAAAGACTCTATTTGGGCAAAAGTCAAATGTATTTGTGGTTTGTATCAGGCTTATGTGGCTTATTTGCCAAAGAATTTAAGGTTGATTCTGAAGCCAACAATTTCTGCGCAGTGCATACTGCAGAGAGTTCATATTCCAAGCCTTAGTAGCATTCTCCAAACTAATTCATTCCTTTTGTTTTGCCCTCAGTTTTGTTCAAATCCAGACGCTTTTGTACAGTTTTGCTAAAAGCATTCTGCTGCGCACAGTCATTTCTCCTGTCCTGAATACCAGGTTCAAAGTGGAACGAGGGTAGACCAGAAGTGAGGAAATGGTGGATTCTCTGCAGCACACAGGCAACATCATCACACTAAGCCTCCTCCCTGGTAGATGGATGTAGAGCTCTGAAGTCTACCAAAGAGGCTGAAAAATAGTCGCAGAGACTAAAGATGTACAGTAATTTCCCCCTTTCCTTTCTGGTGTCTTTGCTTCTCAGCCATAGCACAGGGATGTAGGTATCTATAGATTACTGCCCATACTGCCCACATTATAACGATGAAACAATCCATGCTCACAGGAAACTTCACCATCAGAAGTGCACTTAATTAAACAGAAACACGTGCATTTAGTTTGTATGTCTTATTCTTTTCTTAGTAAGGCTCTGAGATTAAAGGACTTGGATCATCTAACTTTCCTTTTCAATCTACCTATGGCTCAGCAGTAGAAACAATACACAGAAACTAAAAAATATGGCTCAGCCCACTGGCTGTATGTGCACATAGGTGTGTGGTCCCACTTCTCTCATCGAGACCTACAGGTTTGGTTCCTTCTTCTGGTTCAGCTGGATCCTGAGAGCTGCTGTCACCATAAAATCTTATTCACTTGTAGTTACATACTCAATAAATAAAGTGACTACTTAGGTGGTCTCATGCTTTTTCCACAATGCCTGCTTCAATATGACTGGCTTTGCTGACAGGCATGAAGTGTCTTTTGCATGCTAAATACCTGTACCTCTGTTTTTTAAAAATCTTATTTTTTCCATACAAGGTACTAATATAAGGCAGACTTCACCATGGGTATGCAGCTACCTACCTCAACGAATGCTTCTTTAGATACCACGAAACTTTACAAATTGGTCACATTTCTATTATTAACTCATTTATCAACAAATACGTTGAAGTACAAGGAGCCAAGTCCTGTCAAAGCTTCAATCCTGCCTCAAGAAAAGTATTTTCTATGGAACAGATGAAATTTTCTTCATTCACGTTACCTATCTCAGGCAGATTAGTCAGGAAAAAAGGAAGAAGATGGTTGTTTGAGTTCAATGCAGAAGAGAATAATGAAATTCTCCTGAAAATATAAAACAAAATCTCTAAACTATTAATAATTAAAATGATAAGAAACAGCCACCACAGATTTGTCAAAACCAAATCATGTCAAACTAATGTAATTTCCTTCTTTTACAGGGTAACTGGCTTAGTGGAAAAAGGAAAGGAGAACATGTAGCATATTTTGACCTTTGTTAAAACCGTTACGCAGTTCTAGCTGACACTGACTCAACTTAAAAAGGAAAACATCAGTGCAGGCAAAACCATTGTAATGAGGAATGGGAGTACATAGCCAATTAGAAAAATCCATTTTCAAAAAGTAGTTATCAAACAGGGAAATACTTTGAGATACGTATCACAAAGATATGATGGGTCCACAGTCAACATTTTTATTAACACCCATGTGGTCAAATAAAAAACACACACAAAATTTTGCAGATAACACAGAAGGAAGGGAGCGGACACTGACTGGTGGAAGCAATGGTCAGAAATCAACATGATTAAATACTCCAAAACCAATTGCAAAAAGTACTCCTAGGAAAAACATAACAACAAAGGTGCAAAACCAAAATGGAGAATAACTTTCAAACACCAAAGAAAAGGCTTGGGGAATTCTGGGAAATTAAAACAAGAATGCAATGTTGCTGCAAAAGAAGCAAGACTAATTCTAGGTAGTATTCAGAACTGGAAAACAGAAGACATGGAGGCAATTATTTTGATAAACTTGTACTGGTGGAGCCTCTGAAAGAATATGATGTCTAATTTTGGATGTTATATGGATATTTATACACCCACTAAAAATGAATTTGAAGAGGGGCAAGGATGACTCATAAGCTGCTTAGAAAATGCAACCAATGAAGAAAGACTGAAAGAATTGGGTTTTTCTCTGGAAAAGATAAAACTGAAAAGTACAACAAAATGTCTTCAAAGAATCTTGCTATAGATTGAAGAGTTATCTTCAAAGAGACCTGAAGAAGGAGCAAAAAGGAGGAAAGACAAGGATCAATAAACTGAAAAGATACAGCTACACAATTCTCCAGTTCTTTCTCCTCAGCACTGGCAAGGCTGCACCTGGAGTGCCGTGTCCAGTTCTGGGCTCCTTAGTAAGAGAGAGATATGGACAGACTGGAGACAGCCCAACAACGCGCCACGAAGACGATGAAGGGACTGGAGCATCTCTCCTAAGAAGAAAGGCTGAGAGAGCTGGGACTGTTCAGCCTGGAGAAGAGAAGGCTCATCGATATTTATATATCGATGTACATAAATACCTGAAGGGAGAATGCATAGGGGACAGATCCAGGCTATTTTCAGTGGTGCCCAGTGACAGAACCAGAGGCAATGGGCACAAACTGAAACACAGGGGGTTCCCTCTGAATTTTAAGGAAGCACTTTTTTTACTGTGAGGGTGATGGAACACTGGCACAGGTTGCCCAAAGAGATTCTGGAGTCTCCATCCATGGAGAATTCAAAAGCCATCTGGACACAGTCCCGGGTAACTGGCTCTAGGTGGCCCTGCTTGAGCAGGGTGGTTGGACCAGATGACCTCCAGAGGTCCCTTCCAACCTCAATCATTTTGTGACTCTGTGATTCTGTAATGGTAATGATACAAGCTATTGAGGCTGTTTATTCTCCCTCACTGGAGGAAGAAATTAGTGAAACATCAGGATTAGAGCTAGAGATTAGATAAACTTTTGAGATATTGCCCAGTCCCGTATCCTATAATTATATAAAAATTAAATAAATTACTCTAGAAATTATGCAAATTCTACTAGAATAATATGGAAGCTATGTGCAAACTATATGTGTATACAGCAAAGGCACTACTTCAACGGGCGAACTATAAGCCTCTCCTCTATGATTTTTAGCAAAAGACAGAAATAACCTTTCTGCCTGTTAGTGCAGCCTCTTGCAAAACAAAAAGCCGTTATGGCTGTTCTAATTCTACAGACTGAAAACCATATTCTGACAGAGCACAGTAACTGCACCACTGATTCCACCATTCTCTGGCTTAAGTAAAATTCCTGAGCTTCGAGGAAGTGTCCCAGCACGGCCACAAACCCCATGAAAAATGCAGCCATACAGCTTTGTAACTTCTAGGGCTAATTTCCTAGGGAATCCAGCACGTTACATGCACCCAGCTTAGCAAACTGTTTGAAAACATGGCCTCATGATTATTAATGCTGTTGCTGCAATAACACTTGTTGCCCTATTGAGGACAGGGTTTTGTAGACACATCATAGGAGCCTGTTTAAATGCATTGCCAAGTATCACTAGAATTAAAAAGAAGTATTTTTCCAAAGTAAGGAAGAAAGGCATGTTTTAAGTGGGATTCAATGGATTAGACAAAAATATGAGCTATAATAAAGCAATACATAACAGCAATCACAATCTAATTGCACAGGTGTAAAATATATACGTCCAATAAAATCTTATGAATGGAAAAAACTGCAACAGTGCAGCAAGTGTAACTGATGATTCGAAGTTAAATAGCAAGATGATAGTAATTCATAAGCTACTAAAACCTTCTTCTTGATTAATTATATTTCATTAGAAAGCCATCAAATCAATTCTGTTGAAACTATGAAAGATGATGCTGTGATAAATAATTTTTGAAAGAAATTCCAATTACCTTGGACATTCATTTACTTTTATTTGCAAGAATTTGGGATCCATAATTTTAACTTCATTGTTTCAGTTGCCATAACAACTTTGTACATTTATTCCTAGTTTGTTTACAAGCACATCATTTTTTAATTTGATTGCATCATTTGATAGCTAAGACAGTCTAATGCAGTTTTTAAGCTAACTCATTTAAACTATTGGAGGATTGCTGGCTATTTCTGTTCCTGATAAAGCTCATAATCAGGGGGATCTAATTTAACAGAAATTATATGCAATGATAATCT